GTATGTATGTATGTCTGTATGTATGTATGTATGTATGTATGTATGTATGTATGTACGTATGCATGTGTGTATGTATGTATGTATGTATGTATGTATGTATGTATGTATGTATGTACGCATGTACGTATGTATGCATGTATGTATGTATGCATGTATCTATATATGTATGTATGTACGGATGTACGTATGTATGCATCTATGTATGTATGCATCTGTGTATGTATGGATGTACGGATGTACATATGTATGTATGTATGTATGTATGTATGTATGTATGTATGTATGTATGTATGCGTGTATGTATGTATGTATTCATGTATTCATGTATTCATGTACTCATGTGTTCATGCATTCATGTACTCATGTATGTATGTATGCATGTGTGTATGTACGTATGTATGTACGTATGTATGTACGTATGTAAGTAATTATGTATCCATATACATGGATGCATGTATGTATGTATGTATGTATGTATGTATGTACATGTACATGTACATGTACATGTACATGTACATGTACATGTATGTGCATGCGTGTACATGCATGCATGCATGCATACATATCTGCAAGTGCCTGTATACATATACAACTCCCAAGCGCATTCTTCAGTTCTTCGGGTTTAGGTAAGTTAAAGTATTGCTTTGAGCGACACAAAATCCTCAACAGCAACATACACATACTAGTCTTTGCTCATGCTGCAGTGAAGTGTACCAAGCACTGAAATTGGCACATGGCGATTGTGTTGTGGGCTTCTGGCGGGTCTGACCCAGAAGCTATGACATGCAAGTAGAAAAATCACGGGAGCTAAGCACGAAAGAATGTGATACTAACCCTAAACCCTAAACCCTAAACCCTAAACCCTAGACCCTAAACCCTAAACCCTAAACCCTAAACCCTAAACCCTAAACCTTAACTGGAGCCTCCAACACCGCATGCTGCGTGGATAATGTGGGAGGATGCCATGGCCCTCGCGAAAGAGGAGGCTTCCATGGCTTGCTCTCTTGAAGTGGACCTTTGCCTTCATTTAGTGGTTCCAGCCAGGCAGGGCAGGCTTGGAGTGAAGGGCTCTGGGTGTAGATTCAACTATTTCGGATTTCTACGGTAGAGGCTCGGAAAAGAACGCAGAAATCAAGTTTTCCAGCCATGAATATCTTCTGCCGTGAAAGAGATAAGTCCTTACCCACAGGCTCCATAGTAGTTCCTTTTGGGGATTACCGATTGCCTTATAGGACCGTTAATTTCAACCACAAAAAGGAACTGTAATGGAGCACCACCAATGATTTTCCTTTTCGTTAAATTCGCCGAATCGGGCTTTGTCTTAGCATCGTCGACAGGTCGCGGCCTTAGACACACGGTGCAGCAAAAGAATAGGGTTCCTTCTCAGGGTTTCTATAACTCTAAACCCTAAATCCTAAACACTACAGCCTAAACCCTAAATCCTTAAGCTGAACTTCAGCCATGAGGATCCTGAAGTGATGCGCACGCGCCAGCGGAAGGCACGGCTGGGCTGCCTTGGTTGCTTGAATTGAGGGGGTTCCTTTAAGGGTTCCTCTACCTAGAGGCCCCATAGTAGTTCCTTTTTGTGGCTTATATTTAGGATCCTATTAGGTAGGATCCTATTAGGTAATCCCAAAAAGGAACTACTATGGGGCCTATGGGTAAGGTGTTCCTTGAAAGCTCCTTGTAAAGGGTTCTTCAAAGAGGTACCATCCTTACAGCCCTTTTGGTTTGGATACCGAAACTTTCATCTGAAGTGCCCCTACAACAGCACCCCCACTCACTGACCGCGGACAGGATCAGCGCTACGACATCCATCTGCGAACGGACACCACCAGTGCTTGCCTCACGAAGGCAGGAGTTGTTTAAGCCTTCTTTAGGGTACTTGGAAGAAATTTGTGGTTGGGTTCACTAGAACTGTTAAGATACAGCGAAAATTGACATTTTCGCCGGGGTATCAAGTTCAGTATAGCTCTGGCATCGAGGAGAAGGGTTTGACTGAGGTTTAGTCTCGGGTCTACGGTTTACCGGTAGAGATGAGTACAATCCCTAAGGATCCATGTGCCCAAATAGTATAGACTGTTGCCATGGAAGTCGTCCATGTTTAGGTACTTTGGGGCCAAAGTATATACTGCTTGGGTACATGGACGCTTATACCCTTAACCCTCGACCCTCATGGTAATTATTAGCAGTCACCCTTATAGAACCCTTAAAGCAACCCTCAAAGGAACCCCTTAAAAGGACGCTTTGGGAAGGAAGAATGTATAATATATATGTGAGCGGTCTGAGCGACTGCGCCAGTTGGAAGTTGAATTGGCCTAAGTCTCAATCTTCACCAAGCCCCCAAAGCCCCCAAAGCCCCCTAAACCCTTAAGTCCTAAACCCTAGACCCTTAACCCCAAAACCCTGAAACCTCAACTCTAGACCCTCAACCCGAAGCCGGGTCTAAAGCAAATAGGAAACCCCTAAACCCTAGGCCGAAACCCTAAACCCTAACCCCTAACACCTAAACCCTAAGCCCTAAACCCTAAACCCTCAACCCTCAACCCTAAACCCTAAACCCTAAACCCTAAACCCTAAACCCTGAAGCCGAGCAGCTTAGACATGCAGAACCTGAGCCTGGCCTCCAGGCGTAGTAGTGCTTATTTAGGGTTGAGGGTTTGAGGGTTTTAGGGTTTAGAGTTGAAGGTTCAAGGGTTTAGGGTTT